ACATAGGTGCCCTGACACCGCCTATGCATTACCAATACAATTTTAGTCGTTCTCTCATAAGAAAATTATAACATAACAAGACCATTACCACCCTTTTTAGAAACAGTACCAACAAAAACCTTATTTACTTTACTTTTTGTGTACCCCCAATCTCAATGATCTGTATCCGCCTATGATTTTTGTAAATGCATATTTTTAGGATCCACGTGAATTCCTGGTTCATTCTCTATCGATCGGCAAAAGTTGCGTTAAGATTGGTTCAGAAACCTGGCCGTGATAAACAGTCTAAAATGTATCTGCGATTTGCCCGTTTTTACCCCCCTCTACCCCCCCCCCCTATTGACATTTTTTTAATTTTTATTTTTTAGAAATGTAGATCACGTTGAGCGAAATCGAATGCCGTTTGAATTTTGAAAATCGGCCCGTTAGATCTCGAGATATCAAGGGGGGTCGTAAACAGCCCCCCCCCCCTGCCACTAATAGGGGGTAGCCAGGAGCCTGCCACTAATAGGGTTAACTACAGTTATTTTTCCGACCAGTGTTAATTGCCTTCTCCGCCACTGACAAATCTCTTTCTTTATTTTAGGTATAATTGTTTTTATATTAATTGAGGCAATGTTGTCATTTGTTTTATGGTAGTGAATACCTAATATTTTCAAGTTGTTGACAACGGATAATCCTAATGTTTTAAGTTGTTCCGTTGGTACGTTTTTACCTATAGGAAGACACTTCGTTTTCTGTAAGTTGACTTTTAGGCCACTGACTTTAGAAAATTGACTTAGTTCCTCAAGAATACCTTCAACTGAACTTATTTTCGGACTTGAAAATACGATCAAGTCATCGGCATATTGGGATACTCTTGCTTCTGTTTTGTCTGATATTCGTATTCCTTCGATATTGTTAGAACTATTCAGTTGATTAGCAAGCGGTTCCATTACTAGGTTAAACAGGTAGCCGGAAGCTGGGTCGCCCTGCCTTATACCCCTTCCCATGAATATTTTTGTACCAAGATTTCCATCAATTAGGATACGAGAGTTTACATCGGAATTCAAATAAAGCACCGTAATCAGTTTTTGGAAGTATTGACCAAAATTATATTTTTCTAATGCCTCTACTAAAAATTCCCAAGACACGGTATCAAAGGCGGCCTCAAAATCAATGCCGGTGACAATACCTGAGCACTCTTCACAGTTTAAGTGCTCGATGACATCGTATGTTAATCTACTGTTTTCGCCTATAAAACGACCTTGAATGTAGGCGGTTTGGGAAGGGGAAATTATGTTACTCATTACTTTCTTCAATCTATTGGCAACAGTTGCAGAAATTATCTTAAAATCCACGTTTAACAGCGAAATTGGCCTCCAGCCTTTGGTCGTGTCGTGTGGCACGCCCGCTTTAGGGATTAGGGTGACAATGCTTTCGTTATGGGAACCAATGTTCTTATTTGTCTTAAATCTCTCTTTCCAAGCACGAAACAGGAAATCACCGAGCAAATCCCAAAAATACTTGAAAAAATCTGCCGTGAAACCATTTGATCCGGGGGTTTTGCCTTTTTTCATATTCATTAAGGCTGACTTCAATTCGCCCTTGGTGATGGGTTCGTCTAATTGTCTCTTTTCGTCCTCGGTAAGCTTTTGCCTGATATTTCTGTTGAGGTAACTGGAAGGGCTCGCGGTGTCTGATTTTAAATACTTTTCCTTGAGGTTTTGAGAAAAGTATGTCAGTATCTCCGCTTTGTTGGTGATTACTCTATCGTTTATCCTGAGTGATTGTATGGAATTTCTTACCGCGTTTCTTTTTTCCAGCGAGAGAAAGTATTTCGTACATTTTTCCCCTTCCTCATACCAATTAATTCGAGATCTTGTTATAAGGCCTTCTATTTTTGGTTTTCTTATATCCTCTAGTCTTTGCTGTGCTTCCTCTAGACAGCGTAGTTTTTCGGGATTGGGATTATTTGCAAGTTCTTCTCTGATACATGCTATTTCGGTATTTATCTTCCCTTCTTTTTCCCTCACCTGTCTTGCTTTTCTCTTCGAAAATCTTACGGTTTCACCACGGATTAACATAATCAGAGTCTCATAAAACAAATGACAACTTATTGTTAATTGAATCTCATCGAAGTGCGTTTGGTCAGTTACAAAATCAGCTTTGTAAATCGGAATGGCATATTGCCTGACCGTGTCCATCACCAGTTCTTTGATTACTTTTTCGTATTGTTCATCCCTCAGCAGAGAGTTGTTAAATTTTCAAATACCAGGGCCTCTTTTCTTTTGAGGTGTTTGCAAATGAACTGTTACTATACTGTGGTCCGAGCGATACCCAGGCAAAATTGAACTCGACAAAACGCTATCTATAAGATGATCTCCTATGAAGAACATATGATGTCTTTATGCATTTCGGCCAGGTCGGGTCAGGTCAGGTCAGGTCAGGTCAGCCAGTTGGGGTAGTGACGGATATTCTTAGTACGTGTCAACCGCCTCTGACAGCTTCGAAACATGTTACGAAGGCACCAAAACTACTTCGTAAATGTTCAAATGGCTGCTAAATTCGCATTCAGCTCCAAAAACTAGCCTAGAAGCATGAAAACTCGAAAAAGTGAACCGAGGTCATCAAAGGTCAATGACCTGACCTTCAGGTGACCTTGACATACATCCTAGTGCATAGGAACAACATCAATCAAATCACATGTTTGAACGCTTGAAACCACGAAAAGACTGCAAACGCGCGGCTAATGCGAGCCGACATACGCCGAATCGCTATTCCGGCCAAACATGTACTCGGAAAATAGGTCACAGGTCAAAGGTCATTGGGGTCAGGGTGATGAAATTTTCAGGGTAGGTGTAAAATTGATCAACGTGAGGGTACTGAAAGTTTCGTCGCGATCGGCCGCTTTTTACGCGAGTTATTCGCGAAAAACCTTAGGGGGGGGTTGCATCACCCCCCCCCCTGTGCCGGCGAGGGTTAAGCTTTACCGGATCTCTGCTCATCCTGATACTGCAGAACCCTCCAAAACGTCGCCAGAGCCACCCGATATCGCTGACCCTTGACAGTCTGAGTAGCGTATCTCTCACACGAGTGGTGTTCGCCGTGAGCCTTTGATTGGGTTTATGGCCGCCGCTGTGTTCCTTGAATTGCGTGAATATATTGTTCACACTTTCTCGAGCCAGAAACTTGTCAATAATGTGAACAACTTTGTTTCAAGATGGTACTTCTCTGCCCTTAATTAAAACCCGCGCCCCGTAGGGGGGGCCAAAACGCCCCCCCCCCTGTCCTTTTCCGTCCATATCTCCTAAACGGCTTGAGTTATCGCCACCAAACTTTCAGGACCCCTCCGGCCATCAATTTTACACATTGTGACCAACATTTTTTCCAGAGGCTATGATAGGTTGGCCACAAATGACGTCAGAGTGACGTCATGTTCTGCCATTTTCGACCGAAAAAGACCTTCGCGAGAAGAGCTGTCAGGCCTACAGCTTTGAAGATACAGAAAAATGATAAAAACATAAAAGGTGTAGAATTAGCAGGGCTACAAAACTGCTATCTCGGATTTTTAAATTTTTGAGTCTTAACCCCCAAAAATCAAAAAAACAATTTTTGGATATATTTGCCAAAAAATCCAAAAAGTTTTTTGAGTTTCGAAAGTAACGGAATATATGTGTTAGTACCTACCGTCTTCTATCTCCATACCAAATTTCAGATTAATATCTTGTTTTTTGTCCAAGTTATAGCGAAAAACTGTTCCAAAATGATGACGTCAAATTTTCAAACTCAATTTTTGGCAATTCTAGACCACGTAGAGCAAAACAAAGACAACCATTAGACTCCCCGTGACGAGCTGCATCAAATGGATACCCATTTTATGCAAAAATGTCATTTTTGAAATTTGACCTAATTTGACCTGACCTTGACCTGACCTTCACCAAAACGTGACCTAAGCTGGCCCCAAAGGCTGCCTGATCCACATAATCGCATTTGTCATGTAAAATGGACCATAAAACATGTATCAGACGACACTTTCATATTGTGACCCCCAGTGACCTGACCTCTGTGACCTGACCTGGTATCAGTGACCTCAGATAGCGAAGTATGTGTTTGACGAACAATGTACCATCGATGGTTTTCAATAACTTACCAATTTACTCGATTTCACAACACATTTCTTGAAATGCCCGTGAACGGTGAAAATCCGACCTTTGACCTGACCTGTGACGTCATCGGTTTGACTTAGGTCAATGAAATTTGGTCACAAGGTAGTTCCCGGGTGGGGCTATCGAACGCCGCTTGAATTTTGAAAATCGGCCGGTAAATTTCCGAGATCTTAGATTCTCTATTAAATACAAATTATACAAAGATGAGTGGAAAACACAAGTGAAACATTCCAGGGACACTGGATGGCATGCGGTGATAAACCATTACTGACAGAATCTGCCCCTGCAGGTGACAGAAACTACCCCGTATATGTGGCAGCTTCTGTCAGATGACGCGTCGACGCATAACCGACTCTAGCGTCGAAACCACTTGAGATGCAACCGGAACACCATCGGGGCATTTGAAGCTCTTGCTGTAGGGAATATATCAGGAAAGAATCAAACACCAGCTGTTGAAAGTGTGGGCGCCAGAGCCAATTTTGTAAAAAGTGACACTATGTGCCCCACTCTCCCCTACACAGTATACCACTATATATGGCCTTGAGTGTACCTACTGGGCACGCCCAAGGCACGCCTTGCCTAAACAGGCCTTGCCTAAACCGCCTAAACATACGGTAGGGTGGTGAAGGGACTTGGAAAGGACCATTGACCTATAATAAGTATTACTTATATAGGTCAATACTATACTTATTATACTATTATACTATTATACTTATTATACTATAGTATTATACTAATACTATACTTATTATAGGTCAATGGAAAGGACAACGTAAGCAAACCGTCAACTTTCACGTGACAAAATCTGTCCTGCGACATCCGTGAATAAAGAAAGTCTTAGATAACATACGCTAGAAGTCACCGATTGCATTTCAGCAAGTCCGCACAATCACAGACACACACACGTACAAAACATGCTGTAACTGTTGATAAAAACAGTAAGTACACATTCCTCGGAGCATTTCATGGCCTTTCTGAGGACAGCGGCTTCATATCGAGATCAACAAACTGCCCTCCGTATTACGATAATGCGAAACACCGTGGCGTTATCCGATACACGAGCGGTGACTCTTCTTAGTATTGTCCTCAGTTCTTTACACCCATTTGACGATATAGTAGTTCTTCTTTCCTGAAAGAAAACAGAGTATTCGTCAAATGACATTATCTTGTAGTTCGATTGGGTTATTGGCTAAAATGGTTTTTATTGAGGACACAGCATGTTGTAAGTACATACAGTAGCCGCCGACTGAGCAAGACAAAAAACCACAGAAGCCAGTCCACATTCGTGTATGCAAGAACGGCTCGCTAATTTATTCACACATGAGCTAAATGTAGACGTAGTACTGCATACTGGTACAGATGGAATTGTACAAAATCAACACAGCTGGTACATACAATCCAAAACGACTCGCATGTTTTACATAGAACCAATTCGCAATTCGAGTCATCTGGTACCCTACCAAAGATCGCCTGATTTGTTGTAAACTTCTAAATTTGCTCAACTGTATCTTTTAGCTTAAAATTTATATTGATCGAAACTGCTCCGCTTTGCACGTACTGCAACTTTTGAGAATTTATTGTCGATTTGCGGGTTATCTGTTTAACACGGTCGTTTGCACAAACACATTGACATACCGCCGGTATACTAAAACCCTATCGTTCACGGAGGACGGAGAATCTCCACCCATGGCCGGCTTTGGAGCAGCGAAAGTCAACACGATCCGATAAACACCACGTCCCGGGGGCCGACTGTTTACAGAGCACCCGGTGGGAGAGAGGGAGAGAGGGCGGGGGTTGTGCAATGTGCAGAGTGAGCCCGCCGCGATGACAGCAGCCTGCAGGCCTGTCCGTGTCTAACAATGGAGCCTACATACAATAAAGTGTAGGCAAATCGCCAGATTTACGAGTTGAAGCGTTGGATGAAACACATAAAGATAAAATGATTTAAATACTTATTAATATTCGTACATTAATTACAAGTCAGATTGTCATAGAAAGTCAACAACTGTGATGACCTAAGTCACCGTAACTTGCGGTCCAGTGGGACCATTTTGCCCCCCCCCCTCCCAGCCCAGACCGAGGGAGGTAGGCGCGTCGCCACCCGGGGCCATGCAATGTTGGCTAAACAAACAGCCCAGACCGGAACATTGCTGGTTGGGAAGCGAAGTACAAACGAACTCAAGGTTCCAGTGGACTTGCACCATCTAAAGTTCATCGAATCACCCATTGACATAATCCGGCTGCAATTATACGGCTTTAAGCTAATTACATGGCTGGAAAAGTAAAGTGTTGTAAGGCTTCTGCCTCCACATTTGGAGCTCTGTGAGTGAGATAAGTTAGTCTGACGTCAACTTCTTCCTCGCGGGGGTTCCCCGACGTTACCCGCGCTCACTGACCCCCGTTCCTGACTCAGTTTATCAGTGACCGTCCCTCCCATTCAGTCGGTGAGGACCGTTACCACAGCAGCTACTGTCCCCGGCGGCGTGACAGTTAGCATGGTGTGTCAGAAGTGGAAATAGCCGAACGGGTTTAGTTCTTCAGCCTTGTCAATAGATGGCAGTACCGCAGTATGGGCGGCGGATCGTGCCATTGACGTCAAATTTTCGGTACCTGCTAAGAATTGAATGGCGGATATTGTCATGCAAGAATAAAGTAAATCGGTCCACAACTTTTCCAACAAAAGGGGTATAAAGTCAAACATCCTGCCAGAGCGGCGGCGCGGCGGCCGGCGGCAGCCGTTACGCGCCGCCTGGTCTTCTGCCGGCGCGGGACGGTTCCGACTTTGCATTGCACTAAAACCTGTCAACTGCTTGGAATAGTTATTATAGCAAAATTTTCATTCAAGTGAGGAATAACCCAAAGGCAGGAAGCATGTATGTTTGTGTGCATACTGTGCAAGCCAGGAAGCTGCATTAGCAGATACTCGCTAATAGTATATCCAGCCAAGTCCAAACGCATTCCACGGGATGTGTTTCTGATGCGTCAACAATATTTATCGTTCGAGGGCGGATACAGTTGTAACAATACAAAAATTATTTTTGCACAGCTCTATTCCTTGAATAATTCTCTTCAACGCCTTGTTCCTAGTTAAAGGTAGTGTGCCAGCTTTCTTGGACCGTATGGAGTTAATGGCCCAGCAGATAAGGAGAACCGGATTTTTAGAACTTATCCATACCTTCAAAACTCATGGAAACGTCTTAAATTCTTCAAATTTTGAGTACCCCAGTGCGAAATTCGCCCCGACGGGTTGTCGGTCGTACCCCAACCACATTTCACACCACTATGAACAATAAATGCACACACTGAAATCGCTATTACCGATATGCTCATCCAATCAAGTTTCGATAAACCCGTTCATCATCATCTCCTGCGGTTTCGAACACGCCTGTTAGGTGGCTTCTGATGCTCGTCGAGGTCGGAATTTCCAAATACGCGTGGTGCGTCGGGCCGCGCGCTCTGACTTCGGCCAAGAAAAATGCGTCAGCTGATCATTGTCATTTCTGCCACTTGCGTGTGGTGAAATGGGGTCATAACTTATAAGACGGCTTTTTCATATCAATTATTTTACATAAAATCATATTTCAAACCATAAATAATGTTCGACAGCCAAATAAAAGAAACAACACCAATACAGGCTTACAGTTTAAGGCTCGACATTGTGTTGTCTACGATTAGACAGCTGATAACTCATTCCCGTACGTCGTATGGTCGTAACACTATAATGACCTTTGCTTATTGTCACAAGTGCGCCGCATTCGCGATTGTTGCCCGACGCCTGTTTGCAGGTGAGCCCACTACAGTTGTTATACATATCTAAAAACCGAAAAACTTTTAGGCGAAAAAGGCACTATTCCAGGCCCATTTTTGATTTTTTTTGCGATATTAGGTAAAAACAGAAGCTTCTTATCCTAGGAAAAATAAAATGGGAAATCTTTCAAAGGTGGCACACTACCTTTAAGCGAATTACTCCAACATGGTTGAATAAATAAGACGATTTCGCCAAAAGGTCGCGGAAAACCGACCGAAAACGGCCGCGCTCAACGTTAATTTGGGCATGTAGACTCTTTAAAAAATCGCATTGGGCGGATAGGATTTCCCAGGTATTGGCTCCAAAACACCGTATTCAACTCCCGAATACGTCCAAGTGACCCGCCTCGTTCCTAGTTAACCTCTAACTAGATCAAGTGACTCATAAGGAGCGAAAAAGCGACAAAAAAGCATGAACTTCCCTATGACGGCGGGCTGCCGGGTTGCCAGACGGCGCACCGGCTATTTCCACTTTTGAGACACCATGGAGCGGCTCGGTAACCCGCCCACCGGGACGGGCTCAGCCGAGGGGGAACACCATCTGGTGATCAACTCAGTATCGCTCCACGTTATCACCTCATCTCACCGCCCTGGAATGGTCTAAAACACACCCGCACCCTGCCCGCACCGTCCATCCCAGCCAGGTCACGTGACTCACCGACTCTCAGCAGCGTTAGGCCGCTGGGCAGCACGTGACTATCGGCCGTCACCACCTCCTCGGTGGACGTGACTCGGCGCTGGTTGATGTGGAAGCCGCCCGCACTTATAATTCGCGCCGCGTCCGCTGCGGGGCAGCACCGTCGGTCAGACGGAGCGGAGGAGGGCGCACGGAGCGTTATGAAGGGAACGGATAACACAGCTGCTACTTGGACATCTCAAAATTGCAGCTTATTGTTCAAACCACAGATTCATTTTTTCGCAAATCACGCAGCTTTCAATGGCATAGCTAAGAAAATTGTTACCGCCCCCACCAAAAAAAAAAACAAAAAAAAAAACGAAATGCAATCAAACTGACACATGACACAGCCTTAGATAGGCAATATTTAATGCTTTTCTCTTGAGAAAAAAGTGATAGCGACGTGGCAGCCTACCTTCCGTCCTAAAGCACTTTGCAGCCATCGCCAGGTCCAGTGTGGTCATTCCCGACCGCAGAGATAGATCGGTGACCGGCGAGTGGCGAAACATGGAGCGCAGCTCAGCGTCCGCCAGCGACACTAGAGCTTCCGGATCCCGTGAATAGATGGCGTTGGTGACGCGCTTGGCCGAGCGCAGCCCCTCCTCCCCGTGTACTAAAGTGGTGACACTCTCAGCCAGCTTTTTCTGCGCGTGACGAGACTCAGGCTTCTCCTGTGGGATAGAAGTGGATCTTAGGAAATCCTTCAGCGACAGAAATAAGATCTTATTTCGATTTCAAACAAGACAGTTCACTCCATAAGCATTAAGCACCTCTTAACTATCATAACAAAAAATATCAAACAGACAAAACAACAAACAAATCAAACATTTCACAAGATACCGATTTAGTAGCCGCGACTCCTCACGTGGTGTTTTTCCATGATGGCCGCCACCTGGGCGGGCGGGTAGAACGTAAACAGCAGCAGCAGCCGCTCCACCTCGCCGTCCGGCCGGCGCACAAAGTACTGGTACAGGTCGAACGGCGAGGTGCGCTGCGGGTCCAGCCAGACCGTGTTACCGGCCGACTTTCCCAGCTTGGCGCCCTCCTCTGACGTGATGAGGGGCACCGACAGACCTGGCAGGGGGGGGGGGTAATCTATTGTTAGAGGGAGGGGTACGTGATGTATGACATGAATCCACGAAAACATCTGGATACTCGAATCAATTGGACATTGCATGCCTCAAAACACCCCATAACTGAGTTCGTTAAGAGCTTGCCCAAAACTGTGCCTTTGACATAAAATCTACGCTTTAATAACGGTGGTCTGAGCCTGTTCTTTTGAAACGACACGTGGCTTCCCGGCTACTTTCTGAGCTATGTGCGTGCCTTTGACCGCGTCGCACCGCCACTGCGGAGAAGCTCTCACCAAACACGTCGACCTCCTCGTCTGTGGTGCCGGTAATCAGCTCGTAGCCGGAGACCATGTTACCCCGCTGGTCGGCGCCGCCCACCTGTGTGACGTCATCGGAACATGGGTCACGTGACGAGTCGAGGGGTTGGTACGGACAGAAGTTACGTGATGCCGCCGGAACGTTGGCTTATCGATCTCACGTGGCCATCCCCACTGCCCTGCTGACCGAGTTTCCAACGTATTTATTAATTTTCCCACCAAGGCCCACCCTTATATCAGCTGTCTCCCTTTCCTAGCTACCTGCCACCCCACACCCCTTCATCTAAATCCCTCGTATTCATTCCTCCCCATCCCCTTCATATCCCTCCCCTCTTTAGCTCCCTCCATCTCTCACTTCGTATCCCCCTCCAAGCCATTCATTCCTGCTCCTGTAATCTCTCCTCCCTCTCCTCTCCTCTCCTCTCCCGTCCTTACCCCTCCATCCCTCGCCGCTCCCGTCCCTTGCCTGGAAGGCGCAGCCGTGTCGCCGCCACAGGTAGAGCCAGTCGTACGCCTGGAACACCTGGTAGGTGAACTCGGTGAAGCTCATGCCGTCAGGGCTCTGAAGGCGCGACTGGACCGACGCCCGAGACAACATGTTAGACATCCGAAACCTGGCGGCCGGGGGAGGGCAGCTGTCAGAGTCCGGGAACGTGAGCCAGGGCCGGCAGAGGTCACAAGGAGGGTTGCATGGTCTTGGGTTAAGGGTTACATGTTACGTTTCGGTGACCGTGGAAACTGGATTGTTTATGCTTATCACTTATCAGTTGTTTGGTGTTTTGTTGTAGCTGAGTAAGTAAAGCGACATCTTCTCTTTTTCTCCTAATGAAAATGTAATTGAACACTCACAATGAATTCACAGCTGAAAGCAAAAACAAAATAAGCACTAAGCCATTGAAAAAAAATAGAGGCTAGCACGAATAATACAAATTTATATTTGTATAACTGCGCTCCATGTGTATGCACCTTTTGTATTAATCAACAGATAGAATATGGGTCAAGCTGAGAGAGAAAAAGGTAGCCTAGTGTCCTAACATTTCCACAGCAAATATAGTTATGCGTGTATGGTTTCCATTGAAGATCTATGTAGTTCAATGTTCAGTCGTATTATCACCTGCGTCCGATGATGGCGAGAAAATCCACCAGCGAATACTGCGAGTACCACTCCATGTTGTTTAATACCCTGCACACGGAGAGAAAACGCGATAAATAATCATTTTAGAGCATAGAATACAACAAACAAGCACCATTGCAAGAGCATGCACATCATTTCGGTCGTTAAATACATCTGCCGATGTTCCACAAGTTTGAGTACCTACCTCAGAGGCGGCAGTGGGTCCGTTTCGCCACGCTCTCGCCAAAAGTACCGCTCGTGGTTGGAGAACACGCGGCGCAAGTTCTCCTCGATGGCCGACGCGTTCTTTTCCACGGTCTCGGCCTCCATCGCGGAGCGCTCAGTCCGGCGGCCGCTGGGGTCGCCGATCTGACCCGTGGCGCCACCTATCTGGCCGTGAATGAACTTGTAATGTCGCTGGCTTCCACTAAAGTCCAGGCACAAATGGCTTTCAGCGAAAAGGTGTTCAAGAGAATTGATATAAAAATTACTATAAAAAATCGCAAAAACGAATGTGTCAAGGTGAAAAACAATCCATGGCAATTGGACACATCACTTAAGGCTATGCGAACACATTTTACACCACTTGATGTTTTTGGACCATCACAAACTGGATCTTTTCCAATGAGAAAGATCCTAGCTAACTCAGATGGAAACTTTAAATTACATCGGATGATGAATGGCAGGCATCAACTCACCACAGCAATGACATCATGTCCTGCCCTCTGGCAGTGCAGCAGGGCCACCAGAACGAGCAGGTTTCCCACGTGGAGGGAGTCGGCCGTGGGGTCGAAGCCGCTGTAGAAGCACTGCTCTGACGAGTTCAGCACGTCCTGCAGTCGGCTGCTGAAAGAGAGTCTAAGAAGGTCAAATGTGCAACATATGAAAGCATTAATTCAATCTTATGTGATGTTGAGAAATAATAATGGATAACTTTTACATCGTGATAGATTCAATCTAAAAGCCTACCTACTGATCACTGACCTAATAACCAATAGCACCTATCAATTACCATAAATTTTTTAGGAAATACATATGACATGTATTGCACAAAAAGGACCTCAATCAAACCAAGGAAAAATAATATTTAACACCATAAAATTTCAGAATGGATATGTAAGCAGAAAATTATTTAAATCTTACCCGTCATCTGGAAATATTTCAGACAGCAGTCCCCTCTCTTGGAGGTGTCTCAGACTTCTTGTGGAGTATGCTCTGGTTATGGTGTTGCTGCCATGAGTGGAACAGGAAGCAGCACAGCTCCGCAGAGTTGACCTCAAACCCAGCCTCAGCAGCAAGCGCAACATGCTGAAACTAGACCAAAATGTTTATCATCAATTCAGTTTCGAAAATATTGAAGATGTTTTTTAAAAAATCCCCTTAAATCAGGATATTCAAGCACCTATTAATGAGGAATAAAAATAAAATATTACCTAGCACTTGGGAACGTATCCAGGTATATACCTACCTAGCTAACAAGTAGTAGACAAAATTGATTCAAATCAAATCGGTAATAATGGCATACAGCGACGCAGCATCGCTTCGAGCAAGTTTTCGAGCCTTGCAGCTTGATACCTGTTTTTATCAGCACGCTGCTGGCTCCTACGAAGCTGCTCACCCTCATGTCTCGGCATATCATTGGTGAACAGTATGACTCACCTGAATATACACCAATGAGAGGCCGCGTAGCGTCAGCAGCCTGGGAGCATGCGGATAAAAAACACCTCAGGTTTGGCTTGTATTTTGTACTAGTAGCGTCGGAAATCTCGTTTATCAAGAGCGCCAAAAATATTCTTTTGTTACGGAGCGAGCGAAGCGAGCGTAGTCTTTCCTTAGATTAACGGAAATTTCTGAGTATGAGCGGCCGGCCGGCCGGCCGGCCGTGGTCACGCTTTTGCGAGGCTTATATCTCAGCAACCACTTGACCGATTTACACGCGGTAATTTTTGTAGGGTAGCTTCATTCCTTCTACCAAGTATTGGACTATTCCCGATGCATGTGGGTGACCCCTTATGCACGTGCCACGTGCAAAATGAAGAGGTGTCACTTTTGTAATTGTTGCAATATCTCGGTAACTACTGGGCCGATTGCGCTGGAAGTTGGCATGTAGGTAGGCACTCACTAGGCAATGCATATCCATGTGCCAGAGTTGGGGTGCTGCTGCACGTGCGCACGTGCAGGGGTCGATTCCAGATCTCGAGAACGGCTGGACCGATGGCGCTCAAATTTGGTACATGGCTAAGGACCGGTTAGTAGGGTGCCGTGCAAAAGTCAGTTGGGACCCATTTTGCACGTGCGCACGTGCAGGGTGCCGCTTCCAGATCTCGAGAACGGCTGGACCGATTGTGCTCAAATTTGGCACATCGCTAGAGACCGGTTAGTAGGGTGCCGTGCACAAGTCAGCTGGAGGTACCCCCTCGAAATTTCGCACGTGCAAGGCACACCCTCTCGCTCGCTCCGTTAATCGCCCCAAAAGGCGTTATACTGGTAGGTATATGGATTTCCCAAAAACATGGGCTTTCAAAGTTTTTCTCTTTTTTAAATTGATTTGGCATTAAAAAATGACTTGCTTGAAAACGCTCAGCCATGCGCACTGGCGGATCCAGGGGGGGGGGGGGGCACCGGGGCCATGGCCCCCCCCAAAAGCCTGAAAGGGGGGGCCAACATATCTTTTGGCCCCCCCCAAAAACGCTTGGAGAAAAATTAATGTGAGAAGGTTGCGTAGTAGATACCTACTAGAATCAGCAGCGTGATTCAATAGCGTAGAGAAAGTCAGGGGCGCGGGAACTACTTTCAGACTGGGGGAGCACACCATAATAGAGATCAACCTAGGGTCCCCCCAAATCTAGTTTTCTCACCGGTTTTAGGCCACTTATTTTTCATCCCTTGGCTTTTTCAACAAAAAAAAGAAACAGTTGCAAAAAAGGACGGTATTCCGTTTGAAAGCTGTGGGGGCACCGCCCCCACTGGCGGATTCAAGGGGGCCACCGGGGCCATGGGCCCAAAAAGCCTGAAAGAGGGGGCCAACATATCTTTTGGCCCCCCAAAACGCTCGAAGAAAAATTAATGTGAGAAGGTTGTGTAGATACTTACTAGAATCAGCAGCGTGATTCAATAGCGTAGAGAAACCCATGGGCGCGGGAACTACTTTTAGACGGGGGGCGGGGGGAGGTCACACCATGATAGAGATCAACCTAGGATCCCCCAAATATAGTTTTCTCGCCGGTTTTAGGCCACTTATTTTTCATCCCTTGGCTTTTTCAACAAAAAAAGAAAACATTTGCAAAAAGGAGCGGTATTCTGTCTGAAAGTTGTGGGGGCACCGCCCGCACGGCCCCAGAGTTGGGGGGGGGGGGCAAGCTGCCACCACTGCCCCCTCCCCCCGGTTCCCGCGCCTATGGAGAAACTACCGGGTTTACTAGCCTCCTTCATAAAGTGTCGTCATGTCTTATCGTCACCCGAGAAGGTCTTATTGCATAAATATCGATTGAGCTGTCAAGTTAACAAACTTGCTGTGGCAGCCTGACCTGACATGACCCGGCAACTTTTCATTCACGGAATATGCGCAATAAATTTTTTAGGAAAACTCACTGAGTTTTCGTTGAAAAAAAAACTTGTTTTGTTTCGTAATTGTACAAGAAGCATATGATGGACCTTTTTGTCCCTTCCTGCGAAACGGTAAAAGACTTATTTCGGTCACAGCTCAGGCCAATCTCTAAGGGTCAGTCGGGTCACTTATTTCTTAAAAGGGTCCTTACGGCATCCAAGGACCAATTCCGGCTTTTGAGTGCGCCACATCAGCATTTGATGCTACGACAGATGTCGAAATCTGAATATATGTTACAGGCCGTATGAAAATTCGGTCCGTTTGCAAACGGCCTGGCCCAGTCAGGCCATATGAAACTACCTGAAAACACCGGCCGTTTGCAAACTATGACCTGAAATATCAGACCGTTTGAAAACGACCTAGTTAGTTTCGGCCTAGCGGATCCAGGGGGGCCACGGGGTCATGCCCCCAAGCCTGAAAGGGGAACAACATATATTTTTTGTCCCCAAAAACACTTAAAAAAATGAATGTGAGAAGGGCGTAGTAGGTAGAGAGAAAATACCGTATCATTAAAAATCTGTGAGCTTGATAAAAGTGTTGGTCTTGTCTTCACCCAAAAAATTCTTATTGCACACTTTAACCATGGATGAAAGAACCTTCATCCCCTGGTTCTCCTTCATCCATGCTTTAACTCTCGATCGACGTGTGAAGTTATCGTGTAAGGTATCATGAAGCCGATCGCGACGAAACTTTAGTACCCTCATGGTGACAAAGTCTGAAAATTTCATGACCCTGACCCAAGTGAACTTTGACTTGTGGCCTATTTCTCGAGACTATTTGGCCATGTTGGAGACCATGTTTGGCCGGAATAGCGATTCGGCGTATGTCGGCTCACATTATCCGCGCTTTTATAGCCTTTTCGTGGTTTAAAACGCTCAAACATGTGATATGATATGATGTTGCTCCCACGCATTAGGGCGGATGCCAATGTCACCTTACGGTCAAGTCAGGTCATTGACCTTTGATGACCTCGGTGCACTTTTCCGAGTTTAACATGTTTCTAGGATAGTTTCGTTTAGCTGATTTTGAATTTAGCATTTAGCAACCATTTGAACATTTACGAAGTAGTTTTGATGCCTTCGTATCATGTTACGTACTCGTATGTAGCTGCCAGTGGTAGTGGACACCTGCTATACGGACGCCCATAAGTAGGTACTCCTACTGGTTGATCTGACCTGACCTGCCCCGACATGGTCTAAACGCATGAAGACATTATCTATGATCCAAACTAACATGAAATTTGTGATCAGCACAAAAAAAAAACGTATTACAGCCTTATTTTAGGAGGTTCTGACAGGTCCTGATTTCCCGTCTTTTGGGTCTGTGACCTGACCTGGGCGGTGTTTCACGGCACGCTGCCAGCCGCTGCCAGCGCTGATGGCACTTTTGGTTTCAATGGAGACATCAACAAGCCTATACCCACAACACTACCGAAGGCTGACCTTAGCTCGCGGAATGCGCTGTCAGCGGCTGTCAGCACGACCGTGAAACACCGCCCTGGAAGGTCAACCAATGACCAAGGACCTTAAAATCGGGTATCATCGGCTTCGTCTCGTCACTCACGGGCAACACGCCTGTTTTTTTTCCGCGAGCTCTAGCTTAACCCGCGCCCGGCTGGGGGTCCTGGATTTCCACGCCCTGCTGGGGGGGGGGGGGTGTTTGAACACCCCCCCTTCTAACTCGGCTCCTGGGCCACGTAGCGATACGCGGAAGGCGGCGTTCGAAAGAGCGTCAAAAATAATGAGGAAATCACTTCGGTCAATTTTTTGGTCAGGCCAAAGGTCAGGTCACCAGAGGTCATTGAAGGCAAATTTTAGCCGATTTCCAGGTCGAATGTCGAAAATTTCCAAGAAGCCAACGCATAACTCGGGAACCAATAGAGCTACAGCGCCGCGGAAAAGCGCATTCGATAGCCCTATTAACGCCCTTTCTGAGTAATTCTCTCAGATTTGACCTAACGTCAACGGTTTTACCTGCAGGGGGCAAAAACTGCAAAATAGCCGATTTTTTCGGAAACAGTTTTTCTGCAATAACTTTTGACCCAAGCATTGTACGAGCTTACTTTTACCGGCATCGTGTTCCTCTCGTCAAGACGCATCGAACGAACTATAATTTGACCTTGAAAGGTCAACTTGAAAATTTGACCTCAGGTCAAGGTCATGACCTGACCGGAAAGGGTCATGTTGCATATCAGTCGATCCGTATCGTCGAGCTGAACACATCTAAGGCGTTTTCATCGCTCTAGCATGCCTCTATCAAAAGTTATTTGCGAAAAACTGTTAGATACCATTCGTGACCTAAGATGACCTCAGGGCATAAACAGGGGTCACAGACACCATTTTCATGTTCAGTGTGTCTAAACCACTTGTAATTCAGTGTTTGGGAGTGTTTATAATGTCTTTCGTCCAAAACAGGCGCATTTCAATTTTCTCCCATTGACTTATAATGGTGAGGTCGCAAAATTGACCTGACCTTAGGTCATCGATATCAAAATTCTGAGATATACATTTTGTACATGCTAATGCTCTTAGCAATCGCTGAAAGTTTCAAAGCGATCGGTCACTCGGTGTAGCTATGACAGACATTGAAACTTTTTATGAGGTGAGGTCACTTCGAGTGACCTGGTGACCTGACCTTGAATGACCTTGGTCTGAAATTTTAACAACATGTGTAAAATTGATGTATGATAAGGTGTACCAAAAACGGCGGCGCTCCGCGCCGCCGTTTTTGAGATATTCGCGAAAAACCACAGGGGGGGGGGGTGTTCAAACACCCCCCCCAGCAGGGCGCGGGTTAATCAGGGGCCGAACGGCAGGGGGTCCAACCGACACCTCCCAGCCCGCGAAGGCTGCGCCACGCACCGACCCGGAGCGGGCTAATTGGTCGACAAAAGCAATTTGAAGTGTTTTCAAAGTAATATTTAGGCTCGGGTTGGGTGGGCTACCATTTCTATTTTTTTTTTATTTTAGT